GGAGGGACAGCGGGCATCATGGAGAGGGGAGGAGGAGCGGGGCTATGGCGGCCGTTCACGTAGGGGTGGTGGGGGCCTACGACGGAAGAGGGACTGCGGGCATCATGGAGAGGGGAGGAGGAGGGGGGCTATGGCGGCCGTTCACGTAGGGGTGGTGGGGGCCTACGGCGGAAAAGGGAGGGCGGAATTCATGGAGTGGGGAGGAGGAGGGAGGCGATGGCCGCCACTGGAGGAAAGAGGGAGGCGATGGGCGCCACTGAAGAAGAAGAAAAAGAAGAAGAAGAAGAAGAAACAAAAAACAAGAAGTAGAAGAAGAAACGAAAAAGACGAAGAACAAGAAGAAGAAATGAAAAAAAAAAACACGAAGGAGAAGAAACTAAGAAGAAGTGAAGAAGAAGGAACGAAAAAGAAGAAGAAGGAACTAAAAAGAAGAAGAAACAAAAAGAAGAAATGAAAAAGAAGAAGAAGATTTGTCAAGATGACAAGAAACGAAAAAGAAGAACAAAAAACGAAAAAGAAGAAGAAGAAATGAAGAAGAAGAAGGAGAAGAAGAAGAAGAAACAAAGTAGAAGAAGAAGAGAAAACGAAAAGGAAGAAGAAGAAGAAGAGAAAACGAAAAGGAAGAAGAGAAGAAGAAAAAACGAAAAGGAAGAAGAAGAAGAAGAGAAAACGAAAAGGAAGAAGAAGAAGACGAAGAAAAGAAGAAGAAGGAGAAGAAAAAGAAACAAAGAAGAAGAAGAAGAAGAAGAAGAAGAAGAAAAAAAAAAAAGAAGAAACAAAGAAGAAGAAGAAAAAGAAAAAGAATAAACGAAGAAGAAGAAGAAGAAGAAGAAGAAGACGAAGAAGAAGAAGACGAAGAAGAAAAAACAAAAAGGAAGAAGAAGACGAAGAAAAGAAGAAGAAGAAGAAGAAGAAGAAGAAGAAGAAGAAAAAGAAACAAAGAAGAAGAAGAAGAAGAAGAAGAAGAAGAACAAGAAGAAAGAAAAATAAGAAGAAGAAGAAGAGGAAAAAAAAACAAAACTTTACTTCGACGTTCGAGACCTTGTGGGGATGGCGCGCGGCAGGAGGACGACGATGGGGCGGACGCAGGAGGACGACGATGGCGGCAGCAGGACGACAACGCTGGCGGCAGCAGGACGACGATGGCGGCAGCAGGACGTGTGAGAGAGAGAGAGAGAGAGAGAAACTGTGTGCTGACACTATCGGACCGAAGAAACCACCCTTGTCAACGGCCAACATGAATCCGGAAGCGGGGCGACATGCACAAAGGACAAAAAATATGGCAGTGTATCTTTCCATGTTCCAGTGGAAGATTCATTCCCATTTTGCTCATCCGTTGGGTGGTGGAGAGCGAAGGGCCGTTGCTCCGCTACTTACCAAATGTGCAAATGAGAATGAATCAGGTAAGCACGTAACGTATCTCTGGAACCTTTTTTTTTTTTTTTTTGGAGAATCTCTGAACAAATGAGATTGAATCCTCCGCTTGAACATGGAAAGATACATTGCCATATATGTCTTGTGTGCATGTCAAGAGTAGTGCAGCAAGCCCGTTGGTGAACAGTACCGTTGAGTTTTTTTTTTGT